CCAGCCCCCGTCACCCAAGACCCCCGTTGCCACCCCTGGGTGCCCACCTCCCTCCCCAGCCCCCTGCCCACCTGGCCTGGCCCTGGGGGACGGTGCTTAGAGTGCACCCACCCAAACCAGCAGCCCCCCCAAGCCCTGTTGCTGGCAGCAGAACCGCCCCCCCCCCACCAGCCCCTCTCCCCGTTACCTCCTGGCGCCAGCGCGGACAACTTCTCTGGAGCATCCGACCCCATCTCACCCACCCTCCACGCCAGGAGGTTGCAAACCAGCAGCACCAAGAGCTTCATGCAGGTGGCTGGGGTTTGGGGAGCGGAGGGGAAGGTGAGAGGTGGAAAACCAAACCCCCACAGCTCTGGAGGGAGGATTTTGGGGGGAGAAATGAGTAGGGGGGGCGAGCTCGGCCGCGCTGCTCCTGCTTGTGTGTGTCTGCTTGCGGGATGTGATCCTATTCAGGACTGCAGACAGGCACCGCTGGTCAGCGCGAACAAAAGCCTGACGGGTGAGTAATAAGCTCTGTCAAAACAGTTGCTCACTGGCGAGAACTCGGGGGCAGACAGCTCCCGGGATGCCCCGCAGCCGGGTCAGCCCCCCAGGGTCCGCCCCAACCCCACTGCCGAGCCGGGGGTCGGGGTGGGAAGGCAGGAGGGAGCGGGGATCCCCCACCTTTGGGGTGCCAGGAGATCGGATACCGAGGAGGCTGGGGGTCAACGGGGGGGGGGCTCCCCATGCTGCCAGCTTTCCTCCTGCCCCATGAATTAAACATGCCGGGGAGGTAACACACACCGCCGTGGGCAAGAAGCCAAATACCCGCTCCAGCAAGCTGGGCAGCATGGTTACGGGGTGGGAGGATGTGGAGGGCCAGGGGGCCGGCGGCGGGAGAGATGCTGGGCTTGGGGAGGGGGGGGACACGTCCCAGCAAGTGCCCAGGGTTGGCTCAGTAGCACCCTGATAGCTCTGCTCCCAGCACCCATGGCGGGGGGCTGGGGGGGCTCCCCTGGCACAGGACAGATGTCTGGGCTTCAGACATCACTGCCCAGGGGTGGCTGGGGACAGGCACCCGCTGCCATGTCCCCTCCTCTGGGCTGTCACAGGCGGGTGGCACTGGGAGCATCCCCCCCACCTCAGCAGCAGAAATCCAGCTCTGAACGCCTTAGTTCCCTCACCCTGAGCCTAACCCTGGCCTGAACCGTGAGCCTGATGCTAATGCCAACCCCAACCCTCATCCAAACCCTCCTCTTCATATACACCTGAACCCTTGCCAGTGGTCGTAACACCAACCCTAACCCCAATCCCAACCATAAACTCATCCCAAACCTCAACCCCAGCCCCCACATCAACCCCAAATCCAGCCCCAACCTCAAGCCCAACCATAACCCCAAGCCCAACCCAAATCCCAAACCAACATCAACCCCAACCCCAACATCAACCCCAAATCCAGCCCCAACCTCAGGCCCAACCATAACCCCAAGCACAACCCAAACCTCAACATCAACCCCAAATCCAGTCCCAACCATAACCCCAACTCCAACTCCAGCCCCAACCCAAACCTCAGTCTCAACCCCAACATCAACCCCAAATCCAGCCCCAACCATAACCCCAAGCCCAACCTAAACCTCAACCCCAATTGTAACGCCAACCCTAACTCCAACTCCAGCCCCAACTCAAACCTCAACCCCAACCCCAACATCAACCCCAAATCCAGCCCCAACCATAACCCCAAGCCCAACCTAAACCTCAACCCCAATTGTAACGCCAACCCTAACTCCAACTCCAGCCCCAATCTCAACCTTAATCCCAATCCCAGCACTAACATTAACCCTAACCCTCATGCCCACCCTCATGCCATCCTGCACCCCAACTCCAGGCTGCCGTGGAGCCCTGGGGTCCCCCTCTAATCTCCAGCCGGGACTCACTCACCCCAGCAGGGCTGTGCCGAGGCTGGTGGGTCCGTGGCACCGCCGGGCTGCCCTCCTCGGTGCCCCCAGCCCCACCAGAGAGCCAGACCCTGCGCCGACTCCAAATCCATCCCTTCTCCCAGGAGACTTTCCCACGCTTAGCAAACGCACGGGATTATCCTCCTCCTGCACCCCCGCGTGCCAGGGAGCCCCGGAGCCATGGCTGGCCGTGGGGGGAGCCCGGTACCGCTGGTGTGTGGTGGGGGGGGGGGGGTGCCGTGACAGCCACCGCCTGGCCCCAGCATCTGCTGGCCCTGTGACATGAAAGGCCCCCAAAGCCTCTGATGTGCGGAGAGAGAAGGGAAGGGCCGGCGCCGGTGCCAAGGGGAAACTTTCCTACGCCTCGGCCTCGGCCAAGGGAAAAACCAACAAACAGAGGGGCAGGGGCCGCCGATAAATCCCGGCGAGCGCAGGAGCGCGGCTGCACGGGAGGCCCGGCAGCACCGGAGCGCCAGCATCTCCTCCCTGCAGCCTGCACAGCCGGAGCCAGCCCCGGCGCAACGCTCCTCGTCCCCGCCATGCTCCTCGTCCTGCTGCCAGCCTGGCTGGCCCTGGGCATCCTCCAGCTGCCCCTCGGCAGCCCCCAGGTAAGGACCCTCGCCTCCCCTCTTCTGCTCCCTTGCAGACCCCTCGGCACCGTGTCACCACCCCGGGGTGGGGGATACAGCACGGCCACGGGGCTGCCCAGGGCCAGGGGAGGTGGCAGTGGGGCTTGTCCCCTGCAGCACTGAGAAGATGCTAATCCCACCCGGGGCATCCCAGTGCCAGGGCAGGACCAGGCAGAGGGGCTGAGGCTGGAGCAGATCCGGAGGCAGGGGGGCAAGGGCATCCAAACAACCCCCAAATACGCTGCCTGCTTGGGTGGGTGGGTGGCGGGGGAGCCCGGCAGGTGACGGGGGGTGTCCTTGTGTCCCCCCAGGAGTGCCTGAGCCAGCAGCAGGCGCTGGAGGCGGTGCGGCAGATGCAGAAGCTGCTGGCGGCGCAGGAGGCTGCCCAGCTGCGGGGCACGCGGGGGCTCCGGCAGCAGCTCAACCTCCTCCAGAGCCACCTCCAGAAACAGGCCACCAAACGCAACGGTAACCCCGGCCGGGGGAGACAGACATCTCCTTGGGGCCAGCTGGCAAGCGGCATGGGCACGGCGCCCCTCAGCTCCTTGCCTGGCAGCGTCCGTCCTCACCCCTGTCCGTCTGTCCGCAGAGACCTGTCCGCAGCCGGCAGTGCCGCCGAACGGACGGATGCTGGGCCGCAGCCTGCGGGTGGGCCACGACGTTCACTTCGTCTGCGACGCCGGCTTTCGGCTGGTGGGCTCGGAGACGCGCGCCTGCCGGCGGGACCGCACCTGGAGCGGCACCCAGCCCTTCTGCAGAAGTGAAGTGGAGCGGGGTCGGGGTGCCCGGGGTGGGGGGGCTCCCCTCTCACCCTGAGCTCTGGGTCCCCCTCACTCTGCTCCCCAGAGGCTGCAGCAATGGGAGCCGTGAGGTGAGGGTGGGTGTCTCCAGCCCGTCTTCATCAGCTCCTTCTCCCCAGGTGTGGATGACTGCTCCAGCCACCCTTGTGCCAACGGTGGGACCTGCGTGGATGGCAACCAGGGCTACACCTGCCTCTGCCACCGGGGCTGGTCAGGCCCCACCTGCCAGAGCCCCATCTATGCCTGTAGGTGCCCAGGTTTGGGGATGCTCATGGGGACGTCACCCGGCCACGCTGCACCCATCTCCCCGTGGTCCCCCGCAATCTCAGCCCTCCCCTATCTCCTTGTACCCCCCCCAACCCCGACCCCGGCAGTGACCCCTACTCCTCCCCACAGACTGGGTGACACTGAGCAACGCCTCCTTCAGCCGCCAGCCCCGCTGTGCCCAGGGCCACCTGGGGGGTGCCCGGCGCTGCAGCTGTGACACCGGCTTCCAGATGCGGGCGGGCGGCATGTGCCACGGTAAAAGGAGGGTGAGGACGGTGGACCGAGGCGAGGGGAAGCTGAGGCTCGGCATCGGCAGGATGTCAACATCAGCCATGTCCTGCTCTGTCCCCCCCTGCCCTAGACGTGGACGAGTGCCAGCTCTTCCAGTCCAGCCCCCAGACCCGCATCTGCCTCCACGACTGCCTCAACCTCCCCGGCTCCTACCGCTGCCTCTGCCCCCCCGGCTACCTGCTCCACGCTGACCGCAACACCTGTGAGGGTAAGAGCAGTGGGAGCAGGGCAGGGAGCATCCCATGGGACCAGGGATGTGGTGGGGAGCGGGCAGGGGCCAGCCCTGCTCACCCTCTGTCCCCGCCGCAGACGTGGATGAGTGTGCTGGGAAGCAGCACAACTGCAGCCAGGGCGACCTCTGCATCAACACCTTCGGGGGCCACCGCTGCGTGCGCCCCAAGTGCCCCCCGCCGCGTCACAACACCAGCTACGTCAAGACCTCCGCCTTGTGAGTACAGTGGGTGGCTCGGGCTGCGTGGTGCCCTCTCCCCCAGGCCATGGGTCCTACATGTGTCCCAGCCCCCGTATCGTGCCAGCCAAATTGCCACGTGGGGTGTGCTTGGCATGCTCCCTGATGCCCCCTGCCAAAGGTCGGGATGCTGGTGGCTTCCCAATACATGGTGGCTTTATCCAGGATCCAGGTCTCCCAGAGTCCCCAGCCTTGGGGGGAAAAGACGCTGTTTTCATAGAATCATAGAATCATAGAATAATAGAATCATTCAGGTTGGAAAAGACCCTTGGGATCATCGAGTCCAACCATCAACCCCACTCTAAAAAGTTCTCCCCTACACCATATCCCCCAACACCACATCTAAACGCCTCTGAAACATTCAGGGATGGTGACTCAACTACCTCCCTGGGCAGCCTATTCCAGTCTCTGACCACTCTTTCTGTGAAAAATTCTTTCCTAATGGCCAGTCTAAACCTACCTTGTTGGAGCTTGAAGCCATTCCCTCTCGTTCTGTCACTAATGACCTGCGAGAAGAGACCAGCACCAACCTCTCTACAGTGTCCTTTCAAGTCGTTGTAGAGAGTGATGACGTCTCCCCTCAGCCTCCTTTTCCTCAAACTAAACTTCCCCCCCGCTGCCCATTCACGTGGTGCCATCGGGTACCATCCTGCAGGCAAAACTCCCTGGTCCTGCTCATGAGACAGAGCTGTTTTATGGCCGAGCAGAAGTGACCCAAGAGATAAGGATATAAGGAAAAAATCCTTCACCAAAAGGGTTCTCAAGTGTCAGAACAGGCTGCCCAGGGAAGGGGTTGAGTCACCATCCCTGGAGGTATTTAAAAGACAGGCAGATGTGGTGCTGAGGGACATGGGTTAGTTGTGGACTTGGAAGTGCTGGGTTAATGGTTGGATTCGATGATCTTAAAGGTCTCTTCCAACCTAAATGATTCGATGAACCTGGCCAAGGGATGTTACTCTTCAGGAGGAGCATCTGAGCCTGGCTCCATCCTCTAGCTGGGACTGTGGACTGTGGTCCCGGCCTCAGAGCATGACCAAGAGCTGTGTCCCTGAAAGGCACGGAGTTTTCTTGGCAGAGGCAGGGATGGGACAGAGATCCGAGGCCGGGAAGGCTCGAATGTGGCTGCTTTGGGTTGCCACAGTGGCATTGGGGCTGGAGATACGGCCTGCAGCATGGGCCAGGCTTGTTTGCAAGGATGCGGGCATCTCCTCGAGAGCCAAACCACGGCACTGAGCAGTGCCACCACTTCTCTCCTGGCAGCCAGTGCGAGAGGAACCCCTGCCCCATGGACAGCCGAGCCTGCCGCCTGGCTGCCACCTCCATCTCCTTCCACTACCTGCCGCTCCAAGCCAACCGCACTGTGCCCCACGTCCTCTTCAAGATGTCCACCACCCGCTTCGTGGGCGACAGCCTGCGCTTCGCCATCACGGGGGGCCGGGGCCAGGGGGTCTTCACCGTGCGGCGCTCTGACCGGCAGACGGGAGAGCTGGTGCTCACCAACCCCGTGGTGGGGCCAGCCACGCTGGAGGTGGAGCTGGAGATGAGTGAGTTCTCCCGCAAGGTCCTCCTGGGCAAGCACATCTTCAAGGTCACAGCCTTTGTGTCCCCATATGAGTTTTGATCCCCTTTGAAGGCAGGTGTGGGTCTCTCCTGAAGAGCGGTAGAGCGGGTGCAGCTCAGTAGCCCCAGTCCTTGTCCTGGTGGGGACATCCCTCTCCCTCAATGCTTGCTCATGGCTGGTGGGGTGAAGCCACCGCAGCAGAAAGGGTGCCTGCCGCAGAGGCCACAAGGGTGCACCTTGCATTGCTCTGCAGGCAGGGGAACCAGCCCAGGGGTGCCTGTCTCTGCCAGCCCCCTACCTCTCTGCCTGCAGAGCACACGGAGGAGCACAGCAGAGCAGAGCCGATGGCACATGGCGCCCAGGTCTGGCTCCTTGTATCTTGTAACCTCCAATAAAAGAAAAAACAGCTGCAGGAAGGGTGTCCTCCTTGCTCCGTGCCTGCTGTGTGGGAGCAGCCCCCTGGTCTTGGGGGAACGCTCCGGGGAACAGCTGTGGGCGGTGATGACAGCAGGGTCCCCCCGCAGAGCTCGGGGTGCCAGTGGAGCCACCAAGCCCACCCAGTATCACACAGTGCCCACGTCCCTCCCAGCACCACTAATCCCAGGGACCACAACGAACACCCCCACCGTGCAGTACTGGGAGGTGGGTGGCACGTCCAAGGCTTGTCCCCATCTGTTTGGCAGGTGCCAGGAAAGGGCAGGGGGGCACCAGGCAAGCAGGGGACGGCAACTGGAGGCCATGATTCCTTGCCACCCTCTGCAAAGGCCCTGGCAGGAGATGGACAAAGCTGCAGCTCCGTAGCCTACCGAGCATTCGAGCTGTTCCCTGGCTCCCGACTCAAGGAGGGTGGGCAGTGAGGACAAGAGAGGTGCAGACCCTTCTTGGACATCCCCTGCCACCACCAGCACAGCCAGCCCCCCCGGGGCAGGGAGAGTTGAAAAGGTGACAAGGGCCTTTGGGGACAGCGAGAGAAGGACACGCTGCCCCGGGACAGCCTTCCCTCCAGACACAGGAGCCTTCTTTAGGTGAGTGCCGCTGCCCCTCGCACAAAGCAGCCGCTGTGCAGGGACCGCGGGCGGCTCATAAAGACCTCCTTGTGTTGCCCACCACCGGCACGGCCAGGGCCGGGAGGAGGGGGACATCCCTGGGCTGGCGGGGATGGCCATGCTGCGTCAGGAAAATCCACAGCTGGCCGGCACCCAGCGAGGGGAGAGGATGGGACGCAAAGGGGAGAATTACAAGGGTAAATATTTGTTCCTGCGCTTCAGGCGTGCCAGCCTGACCAGGCACCCCGAATGTGGGTTTGGCACAGGGATCTTACGCCCTTCGAACGTTCATGTGCAGCACACAGCGGGATGGAGGGCACCCTCAGGGAGTTTGCCGCCGACGCTAAGCGGTGTGGAGGGGCTGACACTCTGGAAGGGACAGATGCCATCCAGAGGGACCTGGACAGGCCGGAGAGGTGGACCTGTGCCAACCTCATGAAGTTCAACCAGGCCAAGTGCAAGGTCTTGCTTGTGAGTCAGGGCAATCCCAAGCACAAATCCAGGCCAGATGGAGAATGGACAGAGAGCAGCCCTGAGGAGAAGGACTTGGGTGTGTCGGTGGAGGAGAAGCTCCACACGCCCCGGCAACCTGCGCTGGAGCCCAGAAACCCCCCACACCCTGGGCTGCATCCCCAGCCCCGTGGCCAGCAGGGAGAGGGATGGATGGGGGGGATTCTGCCCCTCTGCTCCGCTCTGGGGAGACCCCCCCAGTGCTGCCTCCAGCTCTGGGGCCACCAACAGCAGAAGGACATAGAGCTGTTGGAGTGGGGCCAAAGGAGGCCCCGGAGATGCTGGGAGGGCTGGAGCCCCTCTGCTGGGAGGGGGGGCTGAGAGAGTTGGGGGGTTCAGCCTGGAGAAGAGAAGGCTCCGGGGGAACCTTCAAGCCCCTTCCAGTCCCTCAAGGGGCTCCAGGGAAGCTGGGGAAGGACTCTGGATCAGGGAGGGGAGCCCTAGGAGGAGGGGGAAGGATTTGACCCTGAAAGAGGGGAGATGGAGCTGAGATGTGGGGAAGAACTTGTTTGGTGGGAGGGTGGTGAGAGCCTGGCCCACGTTGGCCAGAGAAGCTGTGGCTGCCCTGTTATAGTTAAAATTAAAAAAATAAAAATAAAAATAAAAAAGTCCGAAATAGATTCACTAAATATTTATTAAGGTAGGAAAGCAAAAGCAGCGCTGGGTGGCCGGGGAGTCGCAGCTCCACCAAGGCTCGCAAATTCAAGCAAGCTGAATAGCTCTTTTTATCCTCACAGAGGTCGGGTTCGACACCTTCAGTACACCCCTCTGCTTCTTCCGTTATCTTTCCTCCATCTGGTCTGTCTTGCTTCAAGGCAGTTTCAAGACAATGTCGGCTGTAAATTAGTTCATACCCTTCCCCTTCTATCTGATTAATTAGTACAAAGTTAAAACACGGATAACATTGGGGTTAAGCTTATCTTGTCAAAACAGGACATTCTCATGTGGTTTAGCAATATAACATTGTGGACGTCTCTTCTTGTTAGGGAGTTCTCAAGACTGCCACAATGGGCTCGTTCTTCTTGCTTAAATTGTTTGGTCAGTAAATTACAATCTGACTTTAGGCGAGTTTTACAAGTGGTGGTGGCATAATCAGCTTGTGCCATCTCTTACATGCATTTGGTTAGTACAAGGATAAACATTCACTTACATAGACACATTTTGATAGCATTGCAGTTTGCGTAAGTCAGGACTTTCTTACACTATGTATAACAGAAAAGGATAATCCTAAAATTTGATCAGCAACAAATCTTCAGTTATTCATTACATGCCCCATCCCTGGAGGGGTTCAAGGGCAGGTTGGAGGGGGCTTGGAGCAACCTGGTGTGGTGGGAGGTGTCCCTGCCCAGGGCAGGGGGTGGCACTGGGGGGGCTTTAAGGTCCCTTCTAACCCAAACCATTCTGTGATTCTATGAATTTGACTAGTCCCTAACTCCCAGCCCACCACGGTGAAGCTTCGCAAAGCAATGATACTTTTTCAGCGTCCTTCTCGCCAGGCTCCCCCCGGGGGTGGGATCCCCGCTGGGCCCGCAGGTCCCCGGGCCCGTGTCCACCCCACAGCCGCCATTTCGCGCCAGGGTGTTTTGTCCCCTTCGCCCCGCCGTAGCCCCGGCCGTTCCCATGGCGACGGGCCCAGCGGCCCGAGGCGCCGGGAGCTGCCGTTTCGGCCTCAGCTGGAGGCCCCGTTACCCGCCGGGGCATGAGGCGGGGACGGGGCCGCTCTCAACCGCCTCCGCGGGGAGAAGGTGAGGAAAAGGCGATGGGGGAGCCGAGGGAAGGGGCCGCCCGGGGGTTCTGGCCCCCGGTGCCGGCCCGTTGGGCTCCGGGTTGTGCTGGTCGCTCCCTCCCACTACCCAGCCCTTGGCTGAACATCCGAAGGGGCCAACCTGAGAACTGCCGGCTAACTTACCGTTAACTAGTATAGTTAACAACCAGCGTCAGCTCGGTTACCTCTCCACAGTCTGCGGTGACCGAGGAAGCCCTGATGGTGACTTCATACCTTGCTTTTTGTAGTGTTTTCTGTAGCCGGGTTGGAAGGAGTGCTGGACATCCATGGGTCCTGTGAGGCCAGGCTGAGAGAGTTGGGGGGGTTCAGCCTGGAGAAGAGAAGGCTCCGGGGAGACCTTCCAGCCCCTTCCAGTCCCTCAAGGGGCTCCAGGAAAGCTGGGGAGGGACTCTGGATCAGGGAGGGGAGCCCCAGGAGGAGGGGGAAGGGTTTGACCCTGAAAGAGGGGAGATGGAGCTGAGATGTGGGGAAGAACTTGTTTGGTGGGAGGGTGGTGAGAGCCTGGCCCAGGTTGGCCAGAGAAGCTGTGGCTGCCCCATCCCTGGAGGGGTTCATGCCCTGCCCCCACCCCCCATGGCAGGGGGTTTGGAACTGGATGATCTTTAAAGTCCCTTTCAACCCAAACCATTCCATCATTCTATACCCACAGAAGGGGAGATGCTGTATCCACGAATCTCTTCACTTCTAGCTTCGTTTTTCATCAGTGCTAGTAGATAATCAGTGCTTCAGCTACAAGAGAAGCCCTCGACTCATAAGGGAAAGGCAAGAAGAAATTCACTTCTGGAACAGGCCAGACGAAGCGTGACATGCAGCTTTCTTCTTTCTTGAGGGTCTGTTAGCAGACAGACACGGCTGGGGGATGGTGGCAGCCTCAGGGGTAATTCAGCCAGGAGATAGCTTAGTCGCAGTTTGCCATGTAAGAGATTCCATTACATTGTAGAAAACTTTTGACGTTAAATAGCATAACCTTCAAAACATCTGATGTTACAAACCAGCAAAGTCTTGCAGCAAAAGAGATTTCCAGGGTCTGGGTGGGCCTGGCTCCCCGGGCCAGGCTTTTATTAGGAGAAGGAAGAAACCTGGGAGTTTCTTCAAATAATCTGAGTGGTTTTTGTAATGTACGCATTACAAAGTGATACACTCAAAGTGATACACAAGCAAATTCTCAACAACCTAGTAAGAAAAGTATCACATGATTAGTAACATTTCTGGTCATGATGAACCAGTTGCCATGTAGCAACTGGAACTCTGAATGCAGCTGGATACTGCTAATTTCTTCGAAGACTGAAGTTAGCATTTTAAGATGGCTTTTTCCAACCTGCTTGTTGCTAAGCCTGTGCTGATGGACATAAATGACATTCTTTTATATTCTTACCTGCTGCTTCTCTACCAGTTGACCACAAAAGACCTTTCCAGCCCTTTGCTTAGGACTGATGCAGGACCATTGCTGTACCAAGATCTGCATCGTTCTGCTCGCTGGTGCTAACCCTCTGATGTTAAACTCATCCTTGCTCCGTGGCAAGTGAAAAGCAACAACTAATAATCCAACACAAATTGAGATAAAAGGGAGAAATCATTTCTGAGCTTGTAGCTGTTGTGCAAACAGAAATCATAAACATCAAGAACTTTCCAAGTTATGGTTTGTAACTCATCTTTGCAGCTAAATCACACTTTACCCTGCCAGGAGCCCAGACACTGTAGGACAACTGAATCAAGCTGCTTCCCTCATGGATGTCCTGCATACCTAATTTCGTTTTTTGTTCTAGCAACAGTCCGCTTTATACTTGCGATGTGGAGGAACTCCTAGTTCTTTCCCCCTTTTTGTCCTTAAATTATCACTTCACTTTTTCGGTTTCTAGTCTTTCCACTTCCCTTGTTGCTGACAGAGGAGTCTCTGTTTTCTTGGATGCTGTGCAGTGCTAAATTGCAGTTCCAGACCACATGCTCCATTGGGGCCACCCGCTCTCACTCCGTTTCTCTGCACTAGCTGGAAGGAACACATGGCATATCTGAGAGAGGTGAAAGTGTTTGTTCTGCCATCACCCATTTCTGACATGAACACATCCCCAAAATCACAGCACATCATACGCCATCTGAGTATGATATGTGTCCATACTGCTGCTGCAATACCCCCTTTGCTCTTTTTACTCAATTTAGGTCTAGAACCCTTCAAAGACTAACAAAACCTGCAAGTTTCCCCTAACTGGAAGTCTGAGGTATTGTTGTTTCATGCAGACATCAGCACTTGTTTTTAAAGTCTGTAATTCTTTTTCCCCTTTTGTTACTATCAGTCACAAATTCCCTGTGCAGAGAGAAGTGTCCCCTCAGATGTGTCGTTGTTCTAGTCTCTCCAGTTTCCTGTCCACCGTGGTGTATATCTCCAACATAAGGCTCCCTCACAATATTTTTTTATCACGTTTGTTGTTTTTTTTTGTTTCCATTTTTGGATTTCTATAGATGAATACCTGCAATAAACCTCCTAATAAGACAGCTCCAGAGAACTTGGGCGAAGCTGTTCCTGAGGTGCAGGTCCAACGTGCTCGAAGGAATGGCTGGAGCTTGCCTCTGCACATTTTCCAGATTATTGCCTGGTGGCTGTACCTCTTCTTTGCTCTGGTTGGCTTTGGAATCCTGGTTCCTCTCCTGCCCCGCCACTGGCTGCCCGCTGGCTATATCGTATCCTTTGGTCAAAAGGAGAACGTGGACTGGAATAAACTATCAGTGAGATTTTTTAAAAATAGTTGTTAGGTAGCATAGAAAGCATAGGAGAAAGCAGCTGAGCCAGAATCTTTTTCTGAAGTACAAACATGATCTTCTCCTGCCTATAAAAAACCAGCTGTTTTGAGATCCTCTCTGCCCTTCCACTTTAGGTAGGTCACTAATGTTCTCCTTGTCTCCTTCATTGCTCTCTGCTACGGTTTCTGCCTTTGTCTCCGAGGCTCTTCTGCTGTCTCCTTCTGCCTATGTGTCTCCTTTTCTTTATATTCTCTTCTCCAAGTGTGCTGCAGGCTTTGAGGGAAGTCATACTAAAAAAAGCCCCTCCTGAAAGACCTTTGCCGTGATGGGCAGCCACACCTCCCTGTGCTGACTGAATGAGTCCTGTAACGCAGCTTCATATGTTTCTGATTCTATGGTGTGGTTGCCTGGGAGCTGATCTTCTCCCAGGGCCCTCTCTTGTCCCCTGTAGAAAATCTGTGAGTGAAAGACGAGGTGGTGTGGTGTGAACCACAGAGGAGAGGTCTGCTGTGTGCCAGAGGAAGAGGGTATCCTGAAATTTGAATTTAGTACTTGCCAAGCTGGGGAAGATTCATAATTTGTGGGCGTTTGCTTTTGTCTTTACTCCAGTAGCATCTTCCTGGTGGGGAAAAAAAAAAAAAAAAAAGGAAAAAAGTATGCAATGATGGTTTTAAAACACTGTGGTTTCTCAAAAAAATATTTAAGGATCATCCTAAAAAGAGAGTGTGTTCCCAAGGTACCACTTTAGCCTTAAACATCACAATAAAAAAAAAAAAAAAGAGGAAGTGGCTTAGTGCCACTTAGTGCTTTTGTAGCAGAATAGGGTAACCAAGAAATGTTAGAGACTCCTGGGAAAAGTTCTGAAAAGATGGGATATGCACTTAGACCATTTCTGGTTTGGATTTATGTATGTCCATGAAGCCTTGGATATGTTTGGGATGCTTTTGCTTATCATTGTTTTAGTTACACCTGTGTGATTTAGGCTTTTCATTAGCTCACAGCGCTCTTATCTATCTATTTTACCCAAATCTTTGGTATTATCACAGTTCAAACCTTGTGAATTTGTCTACCAAATACCTTCATAATTCAGTCTAAAATCACTCTATTCAATAGATTCGTGTATCCTGAAGTTTTACTAGCGGTTAATGTCTAATGTCTTTTTTGTGTCAAAGGCAAATCCCTTCCCATTCTGCTACACCTGTCATCAGAGCTCCAGTCAGCTACACCTCTCAAAGACCTTTTTTTTCCTTACTACACCGCTCTGTTTTCCATAGACATTAGCATGATCAACAATGTGCACGGCTGGGTTTGTAGCATATAAACCAGAAGGTTAATTTTTGAACACATGCTCATTAAACTGCAGTATATCAAGAAGCAAACTCTCGAGCACAGTGGTACTCCAGGGATGCACAGGTGCTGCTTTCTATTTGTATATTCTTACATATTTGTCTATTCTTTCCAAATATCAGCAATTGCTTCAGGTATCTGATCGAAACTACTGCTGCAGTGTATTTGCTCTGACTTGCAAGAAGTAAAAATCCAAACAGGTAATATTTCAAGCAACAATGAGAAATCCTGGATATTGCCTGTCTGTAAATTGTGTAGAATCCTACTTTAAATCCTCTTCCTTGGGATTGTGACTAAGAAAAAGGAAAGCAAGGTGATCACTGCTAGTTTCTTGATGTGACTTTTTTATTTCCTTTCATGGAAGTTTGGTCTTGTGACGGGGCATGTGCACGTCCTTCACTGACTCTTCCTTTCCAAGGAGTCTGTATGGACTAAGAAATGTGGACCTATGCCAGCAGTCTGCACCTGGGGTCAGATTCTGGTAAGTAAAGGTCATTTTTAAAAACTCCCGTGCTAGGAAGGACGTTTCTGTGAGGCAGGGTAGTACATAATAAGGAGGGTTGTTCCTATAGATTTAGTTATCTTTTTTCAGAGGATATTTTTTACAGTTATTATTTATTAACATTTCAGTTAATAAAGCTCGGATTAACATGCTCCAACCAGTTATGTAGTGAGTTCAAATTCTAAGCCATATATTTCTCATCTGTGTGGGCTTTGTGGATTAAGGCTAAAAATACATGTATTAAATCACTCATACAATCCTTAACTGTGTACTTCAGTGTCCAGGAGCGTGCTTTATCTACCATTTAGTTGTTCATCTTACTGCAGTCTCCATTGATCCTGCGGATGCAAATGTGAGAGAAAAAAAATATCTAGGGCCTCTGGCTACCTTCAATCGTAATCAGCACCCCCATGTCATTGAAAACCATCATTGCAATGTCTGTGATGTAGATGTGTAAGTATTTTCTCTCTTTCTTCTACTCCTCTACCTTTTTCACCACTACACTTCACCGTTAGTCTTCAATGTCAGACTGTAAGATGGAAATTGAGCCCCTGAAGCTTTATAGCACGAGTTAAACTTCATCCTGTGGCAGCGTTCAGGTGCCCACTCTCAGGTGGTTCTGTGTTTTATTTACTCCCTCATGTGTTGTGTGGAGAAGGCCGTTGTGTTCCGTGTTATCTGGATGTCAGCGTTTGACCTGACAGCGTGTAGCGTGTGCTTGTATCTGGCTGGATGCTAATGCAGTAGCAGGAAAGGCTTGGAGGGCAGGCATTAAGATCAAGCTTTGTAGAATTGCTAAAGGGTTTCAAATAAGAAATCAGTGATCTCCAAATCAGAAATCACGCGGTGCTTTGAAAAGGCAAATTTTGCAATGTTTGGGATTGTGATCCAACCATGGCTGATAACATTTGGCCATTGACATATTGCTGATGTAGAAGGTTCTCTCACTCTTCCCAGGATCTCTGCTGCTCTCTCTCCCCCTGTATTTGTGCCACTGGACAGTCAGGGTTAGCTGGTGCTGCAGCTGGTGCTGCCATGCTAACGCCACCTTTCTTTGGCAGGAGCGCCACGTCAAAGCACTGTGGAACTTGCAACAAGTGTGTGTGTGGCTTTGATCACCACTGCAAATGGCTCAACAACTGTGTGGGAGAGAGGAATTACTGGTAAGAGCCTGGCTTTGGGACAGGAACAGCAATAACGTTCTGGTTTACTCTTCTCTTCCTCAGGTTCTCCTGCGTCTCAGTCCCCACAGAACCACTTTTCTCTCAGGCCCCAGCTGAATAAAATCAGTCATGAGAAAACTGGATGGAAAAAGCAAGCGTTATTCTGGCATTCAAATAACACAGGGATAAAACTCCAATACTTAGAATTTCGTAGCTGAACATCTACAAATAAAAACAGAGAACATAATCTTATTATTTGGTATTAGGAAAAGCTTATGGGATATTAATTGGGTGTCCTTAACGCTTCTGAGCGCTGGAGTGAGAATAGAACCGCGATTGTGCTGCTCCCCACTGAAACAACCTGCATCCAGATCGCATGCTTTCCCTGCCAGACCTGCCAGTTGGCAGGAGTTACAGCAGCATGTAGGCACCTCTGATCTCTGCCAGGTTTAGGATAAAGAATAAGGAGGCCATCACTGATGATTCCCTTCTCGGTTTCCTGCACTAAAACCAGGTGGAAAGCAGAGAGTTGTTACTGCTGGGTGCCACGTTACACTGGTTTTTGTGCAGGGAGCTCTTTGTCTGTCCTGACAACCTGACTGTTTTGTAACCACGGTTGCTCTACAGGGTCATGGTTTGTCCCTCAGGGTGACAAATCAGAAGACAGTTAACCAGTATCTATCATAAGTGTAAGCAATTTGGGAGAGCTGTCTATATCTCCCGCTTTATTAGAGGTTGGGGGGTTTGAATGGTATGTGTGACGTTGTTGAAGCCACTCAGACTTCCTTACCTTCTCGGCAGGCTCTTTGTGAATAGCGTGCTGTCTGCCATCCTGGGCCTCCTCCTTCTGCTCCTTGTGGCTTGCTACGTCTTCGTGCAGTTCTTCGTGGACCCCATGATGCTTCGCTCCGACCCGCGCTTTGATGGTACCAGCAGAGCTTCAGCTGAGCCTCCTGTGAATCAGCCAAACATACCTCCATACGGGATGGGCTTCTGTGGGACCTCCTGCTGAGGAGGGACTCCCACCCCTTTACTTCTTCAGTTTTATAGTTCTGCAAGAGTCTCTCTGCTCAGCTGGATGGAATGTCTTTCCGTCCAGAGCTAACTGCTCTTCCTAAAGGCCTTGCAGGCACAAGATTTCTTAGGCTTTATTACGGTTCGAGAAACCCTTAACAATTTATTGTTGTTTAGACAATTATTCTATCACCCGATGAGCCCTCCCCACCCGGGAATCGGGGAAAACAAGGAAAGATGAGGGTTGAAATACAAATAGATTTAATAGGATAAGGGTAAATAATTAACATTAATAATATTGAAGAACCAGTATTGATCCTGATACTAATATAAAATATACAAGAATTGTACTCAGCCGATTATATCAGTGCACTCCCCCCAGGGACAGCCCATGTGGGACACTGTGAGCGCTGCGGCTTCGGGAGGAAGGGAAGGGCTCAGGGCTCTGGCACTGGGGCAAGGAGTTCTGAGGATGACAGCCATCAAGGGAGAGAGAGAGAGAGAAACTCCTCAGCAAACTTTGTAATTTCTATTGAATGTCACGTTGATGTTATGAAATAACCCTGTTGGCAGCTTGTGTCATGTGCCTGCGTCTCACTTGTCCTTGTGCCCACACCTGGTGAGCTCGAATACACTGAGATCTTGAATTCCACGTATCATAGGTGGCTGTAAAGTAAATATTTTCACAAATTTGGATGCTGGAGTCTTCTAAAAGTGCAGTTTTTCCAAGCATTAGAAGATAAATCAGCCCCATATTGCTCAAACCAGGATAAGCCTCCTGCAGCTACTTTTGAGTATTTCCAACTGTAAAGTTTAGTTTGACATATTTAATACCCAAACAATTTACTTACCTCCAACTCTTTTTGTTTTCTAGCTCTGAAGAACCACACGCACCGCTGGTTTGTGTTTCTTCCTGCAGCTCCTGTTGAGACTCGGGCATCTGCCATTTTGATCATGGCTGGGATTTTTATTCTTCTGGGCCTAATGACCGTGTTCCTGCTGGGCCACCTCTTGGTCTTTCACATATATCTCAGTAGGTATCATGTTCTTGTCCTCTGCAGCCCCGTTTCCTCTCCACCTAGCTTCTTCTACACGTTCTGCAGTTGCTGCGTGTTCACCTCTTTCACAACTACACACGTGTTGTGCAAGATTGCTGTTGAAAAGGTAGAATTGATGTAGAACTGATGTCCAGGTTCCTTTATGGAAGTTGTACTGTATCAGCACTAAACAACTGCTGGAATTCAGAGTAGAGGTTTTCAGAAAGGTTCCTCATTAGATCTCCTGCTTGTTGCTCTGTCAAGAAGGGACATTTATGTTTGTTTATGTACAGATGGGCATCAAACCCCTTTATTCAGCCGTCATCTAAAATGAAGCCAATGCTGTTTGGCTGCCTGACATAATTCATGATGAGAAAAGATCTTACACTTGCAGTAGTCGGTAGTGCCAAACCCAGGGACGAAGGGATGTGGTGGAAGAGCAGTGAGGACAGTGGTTACAGAGGATCCTTGGATGGATTTTTAGGGAGCCGCTTAACAGCGATGCAGACGCCAACACAAACTAGGTTAGCACAAATCAGAGCAGTTCCAGGAGCAAAAGAGTTACGCTGCTGAAGCGTAGCGTTTGATGGCTGTGTGCTCCTCAACCAGCATTAGTGAGATCATTTACTGTCCTTTTGCTTTACAGCCTCTTTGAGCATAACTTAAATTCGGTGATGCTGCGGTTTTGCTTTCTTGGTGGAACTGAAAGTTGACTTTGCTGGGTTGATGGTGATGCCTGGAGGTATCAAAGGTTGATCTAGGGGCGTAGAAAGACTAAAAGCATAACAAAGCTGGGGCCGCTCCAGTAAGATTTCCTTTGGATGAAAAAGAAAGGATTATTTGATTTAGTGCTGAGCAGTATTTATCCTGTCTTTGTGTACAGCTTCCACAAGAGGGTGCTCCCTCCTTGATATAAAGACAAGAACAGCAATGCATGTATTACAGGGTTCTACTCTAGGTTTGGGTATTTCTTGGTGCTGTTGTCTTGGGGTGATTTTTTTTCCTCTTTCAGAATAAATTATGAGCCAAATTAACTTTTTTTTTTTTTTTTTTCCTGGGCCGATTTGGTATCTTTACAACTCACATGGAAACAGAATTTTATTATTGCTGATTTTTGTTAACGTTTGATGACATTAAAATCTGCTGCCCTTTTGAAACTGGTTCCAGCTGTGCAGAAGTGCAGTGTGTAAGTCCTTGTTGAAAAGCAGTGATGTTACCACATGAAGCCTATATCATGCATCACATATTAATATGTATTACCCTTGCAACTGGGATTCAGGGAGATCAGGCAAAGCATGGCTGGTTTAAATTCCTCTTATTTCACACATGTAATTGTCAATAGTCTCATCTGAATGCTTTAAGGTAGATAGTGTTGGAATGGACTGGCTAACCTCTTTTGGGACTAGAAATACAATTGACCAATTAAAACATAGTTACTGTTCATGAGTATTCCTTCATAAACCTTTCTTCTTTTTTTTTTTAAATAATTAAATCACAGAAAGAAAACAGCACCCCTGAGAGGGGTATTGCCTTTAAGTTTCACATAAATAAAAACTGGATTAAGTCAGGTGTGGCAATGAACATTTTAGAATCTAGTTCTGTTACAAGCACGGTGAAATGTTCAGAATTACTGTCCTGATTTTAATTACTCACTGCTGTCACTGAAAAGGAAGGAAGTAGTTTATTCTCAAAATAGTAGGTGGATGTGTTCAAAATTACCGGTCTTATTGAGCCTCTAGTTCTAGAGGCATTCAGTGAAGAGTGGCACTTCAGAAGCTTGGAGGGAGGATTCATTTTTTCCCTTCAATACTCAGAGGCCAATAGCAGAGCATAATAAAAAGAAAAAAAAAAAACAGGAAATATAAGAAAGGAATATAGGAAAGGATAAGAGGCTCTTGACATCAATGTCTTTATGTTTCACAGTATGTGCTGCAGTGTTATCTGGATAGACAAATGCTAAACTAAATAGCTCTATTAAAATATTTGAAAAGTTGCACTGTTAAGTATTCAGAAACCAATGAACTGTAAACTACAGATGGTTTATAGCCCTTTGCTTATGAGGCAATATTCTGTTTCTCAAATAAAGCGTACGGTACAGTTCTGGGTGCGTTTGCCAGCACCCTCCACTGTCCCTGCTAAGTGCATTCACTCATCACGTGGCTGCAGACTCCCTTCATTTTTATGCTCCATCTTCCTGGCCAAATGAATCTCGAATTCTTATTTCCTCATAAGTTCATTGCTGTAACAGGAGGGGGACCCTCTCCTCAGCTCTCCCCTGCTTATTGCATGGTTTTAAGAGGTAAGACATTAGCAATATGAATGTCTTAGGCAGAGGAAGGGTTTGATTCTGGATGTCCCACATCCTCGGCATCTGCTTTAGCTACTGTGCTTCTGTAAAAAGGAAGGATGACTACCAACCAGGCTGTGCACTGAAAACCTTCAGCATCCATTTCTGGGTTTTGTGCACTAAAAATACTTACCATAACAGGGTCATTAGGGGGAGGAATGTCTGACATTTGGATCCTTGTGATGTTTTGGGTCTCATGAGGAAACCGAGCTGCTTGGAAATGTCACATGGGTTTGGTCACTCGTGGAAGCGGATGTGTTTGTGTGTGGGAATCCTTAAGAGTGCATCAACATGGGCACACAGAAATTCTGAACCTGTCTATTTGGCACCAGGCAGGTTGAGCATTTAATGCTTGGATATTTAGTTTTGGATACTAAGTGTCTCAATCTCCTCTACAGGATGCAAAAACGTACTGAATTTCTTTTTTCCATTTAGCATCCCATACCTTTGGAGTACTCACTGAGCTTTCTGTATGATGCAGATCTTACCCTTATTGGGTATGAATAATGGGTTCATTATTCATAATTCCACTCTACAGTGAGCTGAACAACTTACTACAGTATAGAAGGCTGTACTGTGTACACTTAGAAGAATAGTGGGACTACGAGAAAGTGTGATGATGACAATAAAGGATATAATAAGATATGCAGTGCAAAGGTACTTTTGGCTTAGCGTGTGAGTCTTTTCATGTTTATAGTTACTATTTGATTGTATAGTTATTTAGACCGTTTGTGTCATCAGGGAGTGGCATTTCCTGCACTGACAGCTCTCTCTCTTTCCTCCCAGTGTGGAACAAATTAACTACGTATGAGTACATCCTGCAGCAGCGTCCCCAGCACGAGACGAAAGAGGTAGACAAGCAAAAGGAGTCTTGTCCCTCCCAGGAGAGACCCAGTCAGGTACTCGTTGTATTTTCAGTCCAGTTCTCAAAACCAGCCTGGCTTGTCCGTAGTGGAAAGTTTGCTTCATTTTTGCCAGCTCCAAATTTTAGAGGCAGTTGCTAGAGATGAGACTTTAGAGGTATTTTGGTGGAGTTGAGAGTGTAAGGTCTGTAATTCGATGAACACTTTAGGCATAAGCAAGAACTGCTTTCAAAGGAATCGATCCCACCCACTCTCTTCCTCCACCACTTGTTTTGGGCCCTGCACTATCTATTATTTTCTGCCAGCGCAGCTGTTCATTACAGTCATGCAGTGAACAGGGTGGGGGAACTCATCTGGGTAAGAATAAACTTCATTTTTTAAAAAAATAGTTGCACTCGTGTTTAGCTGGCCCAGCTCCCTCCCATTTGGTTCACCAAGCAGTCACATAAATGCCTGTGTCAGCACGAGAGAGGGTGATGAAGAGGATGGGACCCTCTGTTTGGGTGGCAGTGAACATCTTGCTGGCTTCTGTGATGGGTATTGCAGATCATCGAGATGAGACAGGCTCTGAGGCTGGAGAAACTGGTGCTAATCATCAAGCAGCTAATAATACCCATAGTTTAACCATCTTGAAAAGGACACCAATCACGTTCAGAAATGATCTAGATATCTGCTTTTCTTTGAATTGAGTCTACATAGTGATAAGGGTCTTTTTGATGACTGTGATGTTGATCTGTATTTCTGTAAAAAGATTTCTACAAACTTTTTAATGCTGTTATACTCTGCAGTGGTGTATATATTGTGCTATGAATTCAGAGGTTCAGTGTAATTTATTTTTTTGCAAGGCAGCTCTATCCCTGGAATTACTCAAAATTTGACTGGACAAATTCTGTACTGGCTTTAGCAGTGGAATTCGACTAGAAACTTCCAGAAATTCCTGCTAGTTTAAATTATCCTGCAATTAGTTTTATGCAAGTAAGTTACCTAGTGTACAACCAGTTTTATATTTCATAAGAAATTAATTAAATCTAAACTTCACCTAAGTATTTTGTGTAGAGACTCTGGGATCTCTCTGGACTCATTCATAGTTTTTCCCTATCAAAGCAAAGAGGAAAGTGAGCTAATTCCCTTTCTTATAATATGGTGACCCCAGCTTTTCATATATATATATATATATATATATTTTTTTTTTTTACTGTCTTGGAAAAGTTGAACTTTTCGTTTAAACAGAGGTTTCCATAACAACAAAAATATTTGGCACTTTGTCTCATAGAGCTTTGCTTACTATGAAAATTAAAACAATAACAAAGCATTAGCTCTGATCATTTCCTAGTTACTGAATTTTGGTTCATACTAAAATGTCTCTGAAGCGGGGGGGACGCTGTGTGTGTGCACATTTGGGATGTAGCCATTCAATTATGTTCTCCTGCCTGCGCTGGGGCTTATCTAGATATGTTTGAATACAGTTATTAATTTGAAGCAGCAAGCCTAGAAGAAGCAGGGTGAAAAAGAGTTCTGTGTTTCAGGGCTGCAGTTAGTACCTTGGGGAACAAGAAAGACTGGATGATGCCCAGTAACATTGTTCAGAAAAATGTTAACCCACCAGATTTTCCTTGTTTCTTACATAGCAACCAGAGATAAACACAAACAAATAGATTGGAGTAGGAGCACACCAAGTGACTGGCCTTTTGTAAGCTGTTGACTGCAGCCCTTCTTTAGCTTGAACACAGAAATCCTTTGTGATCGATCCAAGACGTTGCAAGCATAAAATGGAAATCATCCTCTTCCCACTTTTGTCTTAACTGTTCATTCATTTTAGGGAGTGAGAAGAAACATGCATTTCCCCTTTAATCCTTGGGTTTGAGCCTTATTCAAGCTCGGGTATTGATTTTGGCTTCAGTTTTCCACGTTTGTCTGTAGTTAAGTCTTCAGCCATGTTCAGGTTAAAGGATTCTTGTTCAGGTTAAAGGATTCTTACATGCTTGTAGAATCCTTCTCAGAACATCCACAAAGCCCTAATTTTGTACACTTAAGTGGTTCAGATGTCACAAAAAGTGCAAAACAGTTGGACATATGCAGCCTTTACCTCTAGTACTACACCCAAAGCAGGCTGTGCAAGTAACAGTTTTTTCTGTAGGCAGCTGCCTAGCAGTCCAAAGAAATATAAACTAAACCAAGTGCATAATTGTGTTCATACCAATTGCTGTCACAGCGAGGCCAGCTGGGATGTGGTATTTTTCTCATTCCTAAAGCTTTGAACCTGCTTTGGACACTGATTCAGGTTGGTGAGCTTTGATTTTAAATAATAAACACAGATTTTACTCCGCTTCCCTCACATTTTCAGTATTGTTTCTCTCTGCCTGGTTAAGATGAACCCGGGCTCAATACTTGCTCCCACCGATACCCACGCTCAGGCTCGATACTTGTAACAGATCCACTTTTCCTGGGACAAGACCCATTTTTTCCTGTTGGGTTCTTCCTCCCCTCCAGCCAGACAGCATTTCAGGGCGCTGAAGTGGACGGTAAGAGCAGCTGCAGCAGACAAGGGAGCTGAATTCATCCTGAAGCAGCAACTTGGGGTGGACACAGCTGATATTCAGCCTCTCGAGGAGGTCTGAGCGTGGCCAGCATCTGTAAGGTAGCAATGAACTTGGGCACTCTGTCCATTTACTGGTCTGTTTTCAGCAAGAGTAAAAGCTGAATCCTAACAACCCAGGTGGAAAGGGCAGATCTGTCTTGCTGTCACGCTTGGAGGATGCTGGCTGTTACCCTAATGACTGTGGGAGCAGAGGGAGGCTGGGACTCTCTCCTCTGTGGTTGTAGGAGAGAGAACATTGTATTTTCTGCTATCCTCTTCCATTTGCTTCTGCTAGTCGGCTCTAATGGTTTTCTTTCTTTTTTTGTGGCTGCTTTGGTTATACATAATTTACAGAAGGCTGAAATGAACAAAATGGATTTTAAAAAGCTCTCTCATTCTGTGCTTGGAAAGAGTTCTATGTGATATTCTCAAGATGCATCATTTATTGATCTCCTTTGAAATGCCAGTCCCGCAGTCCTGTTTCTGTGCCGTGGACATTGAACCCTGATGGTTTTCAGTTACTGTGCACAGTCCTATGAGGATGTCTCCTGCTGCATCACATTTCAACCACGGCAAGCTTTTCTCTGCAAACACCTACATCTCCCCACCCCTGCCTTTACAGGGACCCGAGATTCTGTCTGGTCTCCTTCGTTTGTGACTCAGGTGCATGAGGCTTGAATGTCAACGTTAAGAACTTGGTCTGGGAGGAAATTCGAGGAAACATTTATATACATTTGGTGTTCGGTCGATGATGAGCAGTGGTCTGACTTGAGTTACAAACTCTATCTGAAATAAATGTGCTCAATTTCTGCAGATTATCAATCCTGCATGTGAATAAACTCTGCCTATAATAGCTCCAAACAGTGTAATTCTCAAATCAGAAAGTTGTGATGTTTGGGGTTGCTAAACCAATTCCCTTCAAAATTGGTGTTACCACCTATAAAACGGCTGAAAATTCTTCTCCACCTTTTTTTTTTTTTTTCTTTTCTTTACAAGACCAATTAAACTAAGAGCCTGTTACAAAAGGCAACACGCCTGAAGTCTTCCAGTTTGGCAACTCTCTTATCTGACAATTACACAAGTGCTGAGGCTCTAGACATCGATGGCAAGATGTTCAAAAGCAACTGGCAATTTGGGAAGTATTGCTTCTGACGTGTAAAGGAGGCTGGCCAGAGTCCATGCGACCGGTGTGCTGGCTCTGAGGCTGGCCAGCTGTGGATGCTGAGAGCATCCCAGGAGCTGTAGTCCCCAGTCCCCTCTCCCAGAGCTCAGCAATACATGTCAGGGGCTTCAAATGGCTTTGTATTTGCTGGTTTATCCCACAAACTATTCTAGTTTCTTCTTGAATACAGGTAACGTTCAGCACCTTCAGCATCCTGTGACAGTCAGTGCTATAGCTTATTTCTGTGCTGTGCCAAAAACGCAGCCTTTCTTCTTCAAAAGAAACCACTACCTACATTTTTTTGATGTGTTGCTCCCTAAATGTTGTGTTAGAGAGATGGTAAACAATTATTCCCCATTTGCTTTCTTCACTCGTATCTGCCCTAAATATTTCCTCTACTGACTGAAGAGCCCTGGCCCATTGGCTGGTCCTTGTACAGAAACTGCCTTTCACTGCTCCTGTCACTCTTCTCCATACCTTCTTCCAGGTCTTCTGCAGGGGAAGATGCTGGAACACTATAGAGAATCCAGTGTCCAGGCTGTCGATGAATGTATTCAGTAACATGAAACTATTTTCTCTTTTCATTCCTGTCAGCTGAAACGATTTCTTGGCTGCCACTGAGCATGCAGCTCCATGGATTCTGGTTCAGAGACCATTGCTTTGTATGTGAAGTCGACACTACTTTTCCCATGAGCATCACTTCACATTTTTACATCTAGCAATTCTGATTTTCACCTGCTATTTTATCACCCCATAATCCAATATTGCAAGAATCTTCTGCAACTCCTTGCAGTTGGCGTTTGTTTTTATTGCCTTACATAAGGGAGTATCATCCCCAGACTTTGTCTCACTCTTCTGCTCTTTTGTCGGTTGTTTATGTATTTGTTGAAGTGCAGAGGCCCTGGGTCTCCCAGGAACCCATTTGTGGGATGTCCAACTTTGACTTCATTTTCTTAAGTTTGCAGGTCAGGCTGTTCAGAAAAATGGGTCTTTGTGAGTTTGCTTAAGTTTTTTTTTTTATTATTTTTGAAATCCCTCTGTCTTTACCACCTAAAAGCTGCCTTAAAACGTGTGTCTTTATAGTCACTGTGCACTAAAATGTTTAAGAGGAAGTTGTCTTGCTAATTATTCAATTTTAAGAACAGCTGAAAAGTCCCTTCAAGATTCTCCTGAGCACAGTTTATCCTTTTTGACAACGGGGCTTCATACCCTGTCTCGCTTGGTAACTCTGACCATCTCAACTGGGTCCTTGGAGGGAGAAGTGGGAGCCCGTTTCTGCAATGCAGATGTGTGGATTTAGGAAGCTTATTCGTTGGGTTTTCTTACATGTTTATGAAAACATGCTATTTTAAAGTTCAGGATGGCATTACTTTGAATTCATCTATACCTGAGGCAAATGAGCAATATATCACATTCTTTTTAAAAAGCAGCAGTTACTAGCTGTACAGGCTCCACACAAGAAGCAGAAAGTACTTTATGTTTTTCCTGTGTGTTTCATGCTTTCATTTTCATCACCCCATTTTGAATTTAAAAGAAGTTTTTTACATTCGCTGCTTAACTCCTGTGATTGAGTTGTGTAACTAATGGAGGCTTTAAGTGATATTTTGAATCTCGTCCCAAGAAATGATTAAGCTGGTCTCCATAAGCGTGCTCTGATTTGATTTTGAGTCATGTGAAATACTGGCTGGACTAATCGAATGAATCAGGGACTTCTAATTGTCTCAATCTTGGCTTTCCATCTCCTTAAGCAGCGGCCTCCTGCTGAGTTTCGGCAGGACTAGCTGTAAGGACAGAAAATGTCTGGCTTGTGCCTGAGGAAGAAGACTGTAGTGAAAATCCCTCTTCTCCACTCTGTGTCCTTACTGATCTGAAAATTTTGATTCCTTTTTATTATTATTACTGTTTTTCAGGAAGCAGACTTTCTTTCAGGTAACCCTGGCTATACAGACCCTGCTATTCAAGTAGAGGAATTCTCAACAGTAGCTTCAGAAAAAAGGTGAGTAAAGCTGTAGGTAGGAGTCTCCTGGCAGTGTGTATGACGACTGGGTGGTTGTCACCAAAGTCCCTGGTGGACCCTAAGACTTAGGAGAATAGGGAGGGCCAATGTTTTGACCAAGGCACGGTGAAATCTTTGAGTTTCAGGAGGGCAAATACCTGCAGGAGTACTTCCCTCTTCTCTCCGGGGAAAATATTTTCTTAGAATACTCTCTTTAGGCTCTTTTATCTTAAAATTACTTTAAAGCTGCCTGATTTGTCCTGTAATTCCTATATTGAGCTCATTATAGTTATATCATCTCAGGCTGTTACAGGATGAATCACAACAGCAAAATTGATAAGGCAGGGAAGTGCTCATGGGAAAACACCATCCTTGTCTCTTAATTAATCCCTGCCTATTAACTCGCGTCCCTGGGGAAGGGAGAGGAAATCCTTGCTATTTTGCACAAGTGGCAACTTTGAAAAGTTGCCCTGCGGATTTGCTGGGAATGCTGTGCCAGGCGAAGGATGCTCCAGTCAGGCTGATGTGTATGTATACTGGTCCAGTATGTGCAAGCAAAGATGGGCATCAGAGTTCAGTCGTGTCTAAGGGGAGCATCTTGTGTATCTGCCGTATGTTTTTTAGCTTGTCAAAGCTCTATGGCCACGACGACGAAGCTCCCCCCGAGCAGAGCTCCTCTCCTGACGGCCCATCTCTTCACTTTGCAGTCCCTTCTCAGGTAAGCGGGAGGAACGCTCCATCCCATCACCTCTGCTGCTTCACCAAGTTGTGTGGGCACATGCTCCCTCCAGTGCAGCCTGGTTACCTCTGTCCTCTTGATATTCATGTCCCTACGTCAAGATGCTCTCCCTTCTTCCTCAAGTGGCAGGTGGTCATGCTCTCCCCCTTTCCTCCAAGCGTATTAGTCAAAGTCTTGTCATCAGAAAAATGCCTTTTAAACTATCCTTGTATTTTGGAGAAGAGCTGTCTTTCCCTTGGGATGTCCTGTGCTATATGACTTTTGGTCCCCTCTTCTACATACATCATCCTCCAGAGATAACAGCTTAAAAGTACCTACACACAGAGAATTGCTGTATGCACACAATATTAATTGTGTTCGTTAAATACCTGCTCTCTGTCATCGCTTTATAGTAACTCAGTCTTAAACTATAAAATATTCTTGGTCTTTTGTCATACTCAATGCTTATTATTAAAAATACAAGGAATGAAAAAGCGGTAGGAACTTAAAAGAATTAGTGTCTCATTACTTTGGCTTCTTTTCTCTTCCCTTCTCTTGGACCTCTTGCTTTCACAGCAGCAGAAAAGCAGAAGAAAGAAGATGCATAAAGCTTCTTCCTCATCAATGGACGGCAGAACTAAAACACACACCAGACCTTGGCCCTCCTTCCCAGATCCCCAGTCAGGTGAGAGTGCACCAGTCAGCTTCTCTTCTTCTGCACTAGATTTCTTGTTGCTGGCACACAGAAATGAAGTGTGTCATGACAGTCCACCACTGGCAGAAAGTTAACTTGCCTAAGAAGGGAAAACGAGTGCTTCTGAGTGCTTGGAGATACTCTAAAATTATCAGACTTGTGTAGAATCCTGTATATTTTCGTATCTAATTTTGCATAAATATATGTATGATTTTCTTTAACACCAGTGCATCAGCCATATCAGAGTTCCTGGGCTTGTTGACATCTTTAGGAAGAATTGTTTTACTGAGAGAGCGGTCAGGCACTGGAACAGCCTGCCCAGGGAGATGGTGGAGTCACCATCCCTGGAGGGATTTAAGGAATGTGTAGACATGGCACCTCAGGGCATGCTCTAGTACCCAAGATTATTAGTTTGTGGGTGGGTGTGATGTGGTGGGGTGTTGTGTGTGTTGTTGGGGTTTTTTTTTTCGTTTCTTTGGTTTTGTGGTTGGACTCGATGATCTCAAAGGTCCCTTCCAACCATGATGATTCTGTGATCTTTGTGGAGCTCGCAGTCTCTCTCCTCTTAAGCTTTCTTCTCCCTTTCTTTCCATCTCTAGAGCTCCCAGCCACGGCTGTTGCCACCTCATCTTCCCACAGCCATCACCTCTTAGTGCCAGCTTTTCCTCTGAGAGCTGCTGTGCCCCCCAGCAGCATCGGCCTCGTCCAGGCGGCGGGAACCCCAGCTGATTATCACTCAGAGTCCGCCGAGTCCATGGATGAGATTCCTGTGGCTCAGACTCGCCTTGGGAGCACAGCCCTTCACAGGCCTCCTAAGAATAACTCCAGCAACTCTCAACACTGTCCCTTGCCTGCAGACAATCCCAGAGGTGACAGGAAGAAGAATCTTTATTCTGGGCACAAGGTAAAGAGGAAAAGCTGCCAGCAAGACAGACACGTGGAGCGGGACCTGGAGCTTTTTTCAAAGGTTCCTGCTGTGTTTGTAAGTAGGAGCAGTGGAGAACCTCACGTCTCCCAGCCCAGTGAGAGCACATCTGAACCACACCACAGAAAATGCACCAGCAAGCAGCACGTGGGCAGACATGATCCGTGCTCTGGGGACATAAGGACAAACACCACAGTGGCCTAGTTACCCGCTTTCCAAAGCCATAACCTTTGGGGACAAGGCAAGAGGTTCTCTTTCTATGTGTATGTTGCTGTTGAAAGATCTTCACTCCAGTGACTCGTCTTTTTCCCTGGAGGTAGCAGCATCCCTTTACCTGCTGCTGTCCATCTTCCAGCAGAAGGAGCTGAGAGGCAGTAAAACTCCCGCTGCGTCATCATTTCTGGCTGCTGCCTCTTCCTAAGCCAAGATTGCCCCAAACCCAGTTCTGCTTTCCTTGACAAGGGGGAGAAGTCTCCCCTGATAGGGATGTGACCAAGGCTGCCGACTGGTCAAGTACCCTGTGCTTGCCATCCGAGTGCAGTGAGACATTTCTCATGCCCAGCCAAAGGCAAGAGGCAATCAGGTGGCCAACCCTGAGGTAGGCATGTTGCTAGAGAGATCTCGAGTGCTTTTCCCCTCCTGGCCATACCCTCCTGGCCCGCCGCATGCTACTACTGCAGTAACTCTCTGGGAGGAGCAAGGCTGCATCTCTGGTGTTCCCTGCACCCTGAAAACTAAATTTCCCATCTGCCTACACCCTGTCAGCCTATGGATCATGCGCAGGGGCTTCAGCAGGTGCTCAGGGAGTAGCCTCAGGATTCCCCTGTTCCCTAGAACCGCTTTCCACTGTGCGCCCTCAAGCCAAGCCCACCAGCACGTACTCTGTAAGGCAGCGTAGTTTGACCTGCTCCACCTTCCCAGCAGCGTGGGGTGTCCCACAGCTCAGCTTTTCCATCAAAAACTCCCACAGGTTTCAGGACACAGCAGATCCTGAAACCTTTCAATTTCCTGGGCTGTCACATCCACATGAGTCCACGGCCAGGCCTGGAGTCCTTGTATTGCTGAAAAATCCCACAGCAGATACCGGGGCATGTCACCAGCACCCTGAGTCACGGCACCCTGTGCTGGTGCTGAGGAGCAGAGTGTGGTTTGGGCTGCCAAGCAACAGTGCCTGGGCTTTCCCTGCACCCTTGGCATCTCCGTGAGCCTTGCCACCAGCATGGATGTGCCTGACACGATTTGTCACCTGCACAGCCCCTGGCACAGCTGGCACCTTGAGCAGCTGGCTTGGCCAGATGCACCATTTCTGGACAGGCCCAGTAGAGAAGAGGAAGGCTAGGAAGTCTTTATCACCCTACCAGATATTTTGATGCATGGAAACCACAACCAACCTTTCTCCAGACTACCATGGGTGCAGGGAAGGACAATACAAAGTGAGTCGAGTGCTCTGTGAGTCGAGCTAAGCTGTTCCTCCCCTCGCCTAGCTCAGTCTTGTGAGAATTCATCAGAAATGGTTCAGAGCAGGACAGGATATTTGGGTACAAATGCTCTTTGGGCACAGCCAGCATGGGACAGGCAGGTTGGACTCCCAGCTTTAAGGTACACAGTTCCCAGCCTGGCTGTTGCCTGTCATCCCAGTGCTTGCACTGGTTTCTGTGCTCTGAGGTCCACACAAAGTCAACTTCCCCTGGAGCTTTAGGCCCAGACAGTTTTACTTCTGGGGAGTTCACCAGCAGAGAGAAGCAGGGAGGTACCTGCTGTATGTTGGAAGCCTCAGCCCAGTCCAGGAGCATTCCCGAATGCCAGCAGCCTGCCCAGCTCCCTCAGGAAGCACCCCAGCACCATCACCTGGCCAACACCATGCTGTGTGGTGGACATTTCAAGTAGTGCTTGAAAAAAAAAAAAAAAAAGTGCTGTAGCTACTCCTGGAAACACAAGGTCCTTGCGGAGCTGAAGCTGGAGTAGGGGAGTCCTCCCTTTGAAGGGCTTATGGGGTAAGTATTGGCTCAGAGGCACTCCCTGGGACAGTCCTTGGGAAATTCTGGCAAGGCAGCGTAGATACCATCACACTCCCCAGGCTGCTTCAGAAGGTGTCTCTCCATCCTTCTCCGTTGTCTGATTTTTGACTCCCAAAAGCTTGGGTGAGGAGCCTTGACTCTTCGTGGAATTACGTCATCGGCAAAATTGAAGTCTCGTGTAGCTGTTGAAGTCATTATGTCTAAATTTGCAGGAAGGGTTTACCTGTGGCCACGCTCCTTGCAGCTGTAGCAAGGTGGTGTGACCCTTTGGAAAAGCAGGCGTGTGTGGGACCAACCTTTGTGGACCAGCAGACATGGCACTGGCTTGTCTGCAGAAACCAGGGCATCTGCTGACTGGTGGAGCCTGGTTAGACAAAACCCTCCCAGATGTTTCTCCTGATGTTTGCTGTCACCTGAGAGAACTACACCCTGCAGTAATGCTGGGCTCAGGGTTTTCAAAGGCCAGCTGTCCCTCCACCCAAAAGTCATTGGTTATTTCTCTCCAGCAGGTGCCCTTGAGCAGACTTCATGTGTTTTCTTACCCTCTGTCCATGCAGAACCAGTTCCAAAGTCATTTATGGAGCTCTTTAGTAGCTCTGTCCACAATAAATTTTTCTATGCCCTTTGCTAAATGGTTTCCTCCTCTTTTGCAGTCATTACTTTATCTACCCAGTTGATGGTCCCCACGCTTTTCCCTGATGTCCCAGCTGGGTTTAGCGTGTTGACCCATGCGGGGGGTGGCAGCGGTCCCCTCCCTGTGGGTCTCTGTGGATGGTGGGTGGGACTGCCTTCCCTGAGGGCAGGGAGCAGACCACTTTCTCCAGGAGGTGTGTAACTCCAGCCTGGTTTCTGCGCTGCGGCAGGGTGACTTCCACAGGGAAGAGGCTGCAGGAAAGGTTTGGGGTGAGTGGAACTGTTTTTTCTGGTCTATCCTGTAGATCCATGGGGGAAAAAATGGTCCGGCGTGACCCGAGGTGGCATGTTCTGAGCACAAGCTGGGAAAGAAAGGAGTGTCCTATGGTTTGTTGGCACGTGACCCTCTCCAGGAGCTCCAGGGCTCAGACTCAGTTTCACTTGGTGTTGTCTTCCCTGCCTGTTCTGTGCTCACTTGTCTGTTGTCCTCCTAAGCCCCCGATCCCCCTGCCACGCACGCAGACACCCACCTGAGAAGGGTCTCTGCTCCCAGAGTCCAGTACAACCAGTGCAGAGCCCTGTATGCTGCTGGGCTGTACTGGTTATGCTCTGCCCTGCAGGCTGCCCTGCAAGGGGTGGGAGCCTTTTGTTGGATCTCCTGGATGTCCAGGGTGCCCTCAGGACCCTGACTTGGGAAGCAGGGGAGACATCCTTCTGCTGTCTGCAACTGAGACACGGGACGTTTTTTCGGCTGCATCAAGTGCTGGAGGAGGCAGAATAAATCAAAGCTGCAGAACGTGCAACGCCTTGTCCATGCCTTAGGGGCAGCTGGATGCTGAGCGAAGAGCCAGAGCCCAGCAGGATGGGGTCCCACTGCTGCCAGCCTTGGACTCTGATTGATCTCCTGACCCTCGTGGGCAGCAGGCAGGATGGAGCGTGCAGGGTGCTGCTTGATTTTGGCTGAGTTTTGTGTTTTCCACCACAGTCGCATTAAAGGAGGACTGTTGAAGACGCATATTGGGCACGCAAGGGTGAGACTGAGATGGAGATGGAGCTCCTGGGAGAAGTCCCTGCCCCAGATCAGTTCCCAGCAAGGATGAACCCTCGCAAGTGCAGTCGAGCGTCTCAGCTGAGCTGCTTCGTGCCAGGAGGACCTTCTGCAGATGCTGATTTGCAATACACACTTGCCCTCAGGACTTTTGGGTGCTGTGTGTGGTATCTCACAAAGTCGTGGAAGTTTTCGATGGGAGGGAGCAGGATGGTCGCAGCCCAGGCTCGCTCCTTCCCCACCTCAGTTCTGTCCTTTTGGGACCTGAACGCTGATACCCTGCTGGTCCAAGAGCCGAGGAGTCACATTATGGGACCTCTGCAGAGGCCAGTGTGTGGGCAGAGTGGTCCTGGCCACCGCACCAGAGGACTGCAATGACCACGAGCAAGGCCATCAGAGAGCTGGGTGAGGTGACAGCAGAACCCCTGATGCCTTCAGCTCCCCATCGCTGTTGAGGTCTGGTGTCCTTGAGCTCCTTCCCCAGTGCTAAATTAAAGGTGGGGGGTTGCCAAGGCACGAACTCTCGCATCAGCAGGAGGCAGTGCCCTGGACTGGCCGTTCCCACCACCAGCCGCTGAGGGTTGTTTTTTTTTTTAATCAGGAACAAGCAAAGCATTTGCAGGATGGTGACAGTTTTACGAAGTCCTCTGAAATCATAAATCCCAGTCCCCGGCCAGTCGCCAGCAGCCGTGCCAGACCTCGCAGCGCGGTCCCGTCTCGGCCGTGGGGACACATGCCCTGTGACTCAAGTTTCTTGCTTTTCTCTTTGAAGTCAAGGGGACCTTCCTCGGGGTAATTATTATATATTTTTTTTTAATTTTTTTTTTTTGATGAGTTGGTTCCCGGGCTCTGCTTTCCACCACGTCCTGAGAGCATCTCAAGGGGCTGCCTGGAATTGCGGGGCGGGGGGGGGGGGGGGAGGAGGGTGCGTTTTCCCCCTCCTCTCTGCCCTGTGCACCCAGGACCCCAGCTCCTCTCTGCATCCTCCCCAGGACCCCAGCTCCAGTCCCCCCGGGATGGCACCGCTCACCAGCTGCCGTTAAGCCCCGTTACCGCCGTGTGGACACGCTGTTGCTGGGGTTACCGTATACATATTGCACAACCTCCGAAACACTTCCCTCTGTTTTCTAGCAACTCGGGCTGGAGGAGCAGCCTTCCCTCATAACCTCATCCCACCCCAGACCCGGCCCAACCAGCCGCTCGTTCCTGAAACAAGATGACCCCGGGGAGCCTGTGGTGCCTGACCCCCGGGGGAGGCAAGAGGCAAAGAGGAGGGAGGGTGAGGGCAGAGGGTGCTCCGGGCTGTGCCTGTGCTCTTGTGCAAGCTCTGAGCGCCCTGGAGCAGTCACAGCACTCCCTGTGAATTTAGGGAGAACGACGTGGTCCTAGCAGGGATGAGCCCAGCATCCAAAGCCGTGTCTCGGTGACACTGAGCTGTGAGGCTCGGTGTGTCCCGGGTGAGCCCACTGGAGTTCTGGAGCTCATTGAGCTCCCCAGGGCAGGAGACAGCCTGGGAACATCCTGAGCTTTGCTGAAAATGGCAAGAAGGGAAAAGTCCCCTGGGGAGCTGAGTGCTGAGCCGCATCCATGCTCCACGTCCACCACACCACAGGACCTGTGCAATCTCAGCTCTTGCCCGTGCCATGGGCTCCTGACCAAGTCACAGCTTCCTCCCAGGCTTCCTTTTCCGGGCCGCATGAGGAACAGCAGGAGCCGGCCAAGGCCGGTGCTCCATCCCAACCGGGCTGTCATGGTGACAACAAACGCACAACAAACCCCAGCCCTTAGGAACCGAAACCTGACCTGCTCAACCCGACCCCGTGGGGCAACTCGCCAGCCCTGGCTTGGTGTCCTCCACTCGCCCGGCTCTTCCCCCTGTGCCGCCTCTTGGCTCTTGGGGCTCTGCAGCCCCGAGAGATGGGTTTGGATGGGCTGGAGCTCCAGCAGAAGAGCTGCCGACGTGACCAGCTCCAACTCAAGTTGGCTGTCAAGTCCTGCCGGAGCTGCTGTGGGCTGGATGCTCCAGCCGGCGTTACCTGGGCACGCAAAGGACAAGGCTGTATCTTCAGCAAGATTTAACCACCCTCCTCCGTGTGGCAGCCCCGATGATTGCCCTCTTCTTCAAGCAGGGAGCAGGCGAGCGGATCTCCAGATCTCCCCCACTTTAGGTGGGGTGGGATGACAGCCCTAGGTCCTTGCTGGCCTGTGTGGAGGCTGGTTTAAATTCCCACTGTGACCTCTGAGCAATTTGGGACCTGCTTTTATATTTAATGAAGAGCTGGAAGCACATGTGTTCAGGACAGAGTCCTCCTGGTGTCACCGCTTCCTGGGCTCTCTGGCTGTGTCTGAGCTCTGGACAAGCCAGATGGAGGAGAAACACTGGTTGGTGAGGTCTGCCTGAACTCTGGCATCAGTCTAGTCTGCATCTGAGGAGCCTTCACGCCTGTCCTGCCCACCCTTGGCTGTCCCCTCTGGGATGTCCTTGCCACCTGGTAGCCATGGGTTGCTACCCTGCAACCGGCTGTGAACCAGCTGCTCCTGCTGATGGAGGGTCACAGGACTGGTTGGGGGACTGGTTGGGATCCTTCAATGTGGCTGTGACCATCTGGGGCCACCCAAAAAGCGGCCAGGAGCTGTGGCACGCCTGTGTCCTCTGACACCAGCCCCGGCATTCATCTCCGAGGTGGGAGTCAAAGGTGGGGATCCCAAATCTTGCAGCGTTGGTTGGTGGTCACCTCTGGAGCTCTCCGGACCCTGCTGCAAGCCAGGATAGGTATGAGCGGGTTGCTCAGGGCTTTGCCCAGTCAAGAGTTGGAAACAAGGTCTCAGCAGAGACCAGCTAAGAAGGGGAGATTGTCACGGGGGCCGTACCCCCCCATACCCACTCTCCCCAAAGCAAAAGGGCTCTGGGTGCAAGAGCAGAACTGATACCCCTGGAGCAGCTCAGCCATGGGGACACCCGTGTTTGTCCTTGTCCAGGGCAGACAGAGGCTGTAGGGTGCCAAAGGTGTTGGAGCTGCTGCCCAGCCCCCCAAGCTGCTGATTAACCTTCAGGACTCCAGCGTGGCAGCAGCAGACCCCCACGCTGCATCCCCTCGGTGCCAGCACCTCCTGGTGATGGTGGGGCTGGCCATGCAGGAGAAAGGGGTAGTGCCAGGGGAGCACCGAGGCTGGAGCAGGCGCTGGGCGAAGAGCTGAGGTGGGGCCATGAGTAAGTGATGTGGGTTGTGACGGGACTCCATGGTAACCATAATATTTGGGCATTGCTTCAGCCCGCAGCACCCACCGAGAGCCCCACATGTGCTTGGGCTCCAGGTGAGGGAAGCCAGTAGCCACAATGGGCAACGCTGGCATGGGGCTGGCTGCTCCCAGGGCCACTCCAAGGGTGCCCATCATGCCAGGATGGTTGGCATCCATCCCCACAGCCCGGGCAGCGGCCTGAGGTCCATAGTGTTAGCCACCCAGAGAGGGGAATTCCTCCATGAAGGGTCACACTGACCATGTTGGGTAGGGGACAGGGCTGTGGGGCGGAGCACAGTGGGGCTGGCAGGGAGGAGCCTGTGGTTGGCAGGGTGGTGGAGGAACCTTGTGGGGTGATGGTGGGGTCTTGTTGGGTGGAGGAAATACCTTGTGGGGTGATGGTGGGGCCTTGTGGGGTGATGGAGGGACCTTGTGGTGTGCCGGTAGGGCCTCATGGGCTGATGGAGAGGCTTTGTGAGGTGGTGGAGAGTCTTTGTGGGGTGCTGGAGGGGGCCTGGTGGGGTGAGGAAGGGATTTGGACATTGTCTTTTCCAAGGTGAAGTAAGTGACAAGGCTTCTCGGGGCCTCCAGCCGCTCAGAGGTTGGGGATGTCCTTGTGGTGCGGGCAGGGTGGTGGTGCCTGGGTGCGGTGGTCCCTGGGGAGGTGTGGTACCCTGGCTGCGTGTCCAGGCCATCCATGGTCTCTCCATCAGGGTGGGTGCTGCCCTGCAGCGTCCTGCCTTCAGGGAGTTTGTGTGGCTGCTTTTGCAAGACCTGATAATAAAGTAATCCAAAACTGGGGTGTGGGAGGCTCAGATGACCTCACATCACAGGGTGGGAGGATGATGAGGCTTCCTGGTGGTGGAGTGAGTTTGTTGGGTGCCAGTAGGGCCTGTGGTGTGCCGGTAGGGCCTCATGGGCTGATGGAGAGGCTTTGTGAGGTGGTGGAGAGTCTTTGTGGGGTGCTGGAGGGGGCCTGGTGGGGTGAGGAAGGGATTTGGACATTGTCTTTTCCAAGGTGAAGTAAGTGACAAGGCTTCTCGGGGCCTCCAGCCGCTCAGAGGTTGGGGATGTCCTTGTGGTGCGGGCAGGGTGGTGGTGCCTGGGTGCGGTGGTCCCTGGGGAGGTGTGGTACCCTGGCTGCGTGTCCAGGCCATCCATGGTCTCTCCATCAGGGTGGGTGCTGCCCTGCAGCGTCCTGCCTTCAGGGAGTTTGTGTGGCTGCTTTTGCAAGACCTGATAATAAAGTAATCCAAAACTGGGGTGGGGGAGGCTCAGATGACCTCACATCATGGGGTGGGAGGATGATGAGGCTTCCTGGTGGTGGAGTGAGTTTGTTGGGTGCCAGTAGGGCCTCGTGGGGTGATGGAGGGGGCCTTATGGGGTAGAGGAAGTACCTTGTAGGGTGATGGTGGGGCCTTGTGGGGTGATGGAGGGACCTCGTGGTGTGCTGGTAGAGCCTCATGGGCTGATGGAGGGGCTTTGTGAGGCGGTGGAGACCCTTCGTGGGGTGCTGGAGGGGGCCTGGTGGGGTGAGGAAGGGGCTTCATGGGGTGATGATGATGAGGCTTCCTGGAGGTGGGGTGACTTTGTTGGGTGCTGGTAGAGCCTCGTGGGGTGATGAAGGGGCATCGTGGGGTGGCAAAGGGGCTTCATGGGGTGAGGATGAGGCTTCCTGGTGGTGGGGTGACTTTGCTGGGTGCCAGTAGAGCCTCGTGGGCTGATGGAGGGGCTTTGTGAGGTAGTGGAGAGCCTTCGTGGGGTGCTGGAGGGGGCCTGGTGGGGTGAGGAAGGGGCTTCATGGGGTGATGATGAGGCTTCCTGGAGGTGGGGTGACTTTGTTGGGTGCTGGTAGGGCCTCGTGGGGTGACGAAGGGGCTTCATGGAGTGAGGATGAGGCTTCCTGGTAGTGGGGTGACTTTGTTGGGTGCCAGTAGGGCCTCGTGGGGTGATGGAGGGGCCTCGTGGGTTGATGGAGGGGCGTCACGGGGTGGCGGAGGGGCTTCATGGGGTGTCGAAGGGCATCCCAGCGCCCTCCCTGCCGGCTGCCCGGGCTCCGTCTCCCCTCCCCGAGCGCTCCCGGTCCGTTCCGCCGCCCCGGGGGAGGCGGGAGGGGGCGGCCCGGATCCCGGTGCGGGCGCGGCCGGCGGCCCCTCCCGTCGCCATGGCGGCGCCTTAAACAGGCGGCGGCCGCCGTTCCCCCCCCGCCTCACAGCGCGGCGCCGGGAGGTGAGTGACCGACCGAGCGCGGCCGCGGCGGGTGGGGCAGAGCGCAGTGGGGCTGGCAGGGCTGGTGGAGGAACCTCGTGGGGTGACGGAGGAGCCTTGTGGGGGGGAGGAAATCCCTTGTGGGGTGATGGTGGGGCCTCGTGGGGTGATGGAGGGACCTCGTGGTGCGTCTCCTTCGTGCCCCGCTCTCCGCCTGTCGCCGAGGCCTCAGGGGGACCCCATCCCCGTCCCCCCGCTGCCCCCCGCCCCCAGCCTGGCCACTGGGGGAGGTACCTGCTGTGCACCTCGGGGTGACACCCGGCTACTGCTGCGCCCCGTCCCGGCTGAGGTGCTGTGGGTGCTCAGGGGGTGGATGCCAGGTGAGGGTGGCAGGTGACAGCCAGTGGGGATGTGACAGCGGCCACAGCGCTCTGCAGGGGCACAGAGACCCCTCTCCGTGACTCGTACCCCCCACCGCCCCCCAGACTGTGTCCGGCCCAGCTCCACACAGGGCTGGGGGGGCGTGTGGGGGGCTGGTGGGCAATGGAGAGGCGGGGGGCTGGGGGCAGGCAGCGGTGCCATCCCTCACCCAGGGCGAGCGGGAGGAAGGCGGCCGCATTGCGTCATTCCCGCAGAGGGTTCCCCGGGGACCGGCCGATGCGCTCACTCCTCGCCAGCCCCCGGAGCCGGCGGCCTCGCTGCTGACAGCTCTCCAGCCCCACAAACACCCCTTGGTTGTTGGCCTCGGGGCTTGTCCCAGGGTGCCACCAGCCCTCACCCCACCTGCGTGGACTCTACTGCCATCCCTCTGCCCTCACCAGCCCTCTTCCTCCTCCTCCTCCTCCTCTTCCTCCTGCCCTCGCAGACCTGACAGCAGAGGGGCTGAGCTTTGCCGGTGCTGCCAGACAGAGCCCGGGTGGTAACGAGCCCTTCTGCCCCCCTCATCCTGCAGCCCCATGGCCGGGAGCGAGGAGATGGCCTCCCTGGAAGAGAGCTTCCGCAAGTTCGCCATCTACGGCGACACCAAGGCCACGGGGCAAGAAATGAACGGGAAGAACTGGGCCAAGCTGTGCAAAGACTGCAAAGTCACTGATGGCAAAAGCGTCACCAGCACCGACGTGGACATTGTCTTCTCCAAAGTGAAGTAAGTGACAAGGCTTCTTGGGGCCTCCAGCCGCTCAGAGGTTGGGGATGTCCTTGTGGTGCGGGCAGGGTGGCGGTGCCTGGGGGCGGTGGTCCCCAGGGAGGTGTGACTCATAGAATCATCTAGGTTGGAAGGGACCTTAAAGATCATCTAGTCCAACCAAGATAACAGTTAATGAATTTGCAAGACCTGATAATAAATTAATCCAAAATTGGGGTGTGGGAGGCTCAGATTTTGGTGCAGAGGCTGTTCCCCTGCTCCCAGACATCGAGGTGGGTCTGGACGGGTTCTGCCAGGTTCTCATCTAGCAAGAAGGTGCCGCAGGGAAGAGAGGAGGGTGTTCAGGGGTATCCTGTGTGACGTGGCACAGCCCATCCCTGGGCCAGCCCACACCTGAGCTTGGCGTGGACTCTGGTCTTTGCTCCTCAGAGGTCACAGGGGCAGCTGAAGGGCTTAAAGGCATCTTTGGTGTCCCTGAGGACATGCTGACACCAGGGTGCAGGAGCAAGGCTGGATGGGGAGCCTGCTCCCTCCGCACCGTCTGTCCCAGCATCCCCTGGTGGGGCCAGGAGGGTCTGAGCACCCAGAGGTTTTTGGTGGGTTTGAGGGTGGGGCTCTGTGGTGCCTCAGAGATGAGGATCAGGCACTCGTGGGAGAGATGCTCCGTGCATGTCCTTCCAAATTTTACCGGAGAAGGAGTGGTGCCCGCCCTGGGGCAGAGTGCTGGGCACCCCAGCCAGGCTGGAAGCGGTGGGAATCGTGTCCCTTTGTGCCACCAGCACCCAATTCCAGAGCACTTCCATGTGGGGCTGAGGTTTTTAGCATCGGGGACCCCCCTGGAGCTCAGCCCCGGCTGTGCCTAACCTGACCCCTTCTGCTGGCATCGCCCTGGCCATAGCTGTGTCTCGGAGGTGGGCAAGGGGCCTGTGGCTGGAGAAGGACAAAGGTCTCCCTGCTGCCGCTCATCCCGCTGCAGCCCTCTTTGGAGGCACAACCCGAGGAGGAGGTGCTTGCTGCAGCCTGCGTTTCGTGCTGGCAGGGGGAAGACAGCCCGTGTCATCAACTACGAGGAGTTCAAGAAGGCGCTGGAGGAGCTGGCCCCCAAGAGGTTTAAGGACAAGAGCAAAGAAGAGGCGTACGAAGCCATCTGCCAGCTGGTGGCAGGGAAGGAGCCCATCAACGTGGGCGTCACGGTGAGTGAAGAGCCCCTCGGCCGCTAGGACCGGGAGGGATGGTCGGGAGAGGAGGAGGGGGCTCTGCCTGCAGCACAAATGCTTCCCTGGGGGACCCTGTGGTGTGCTGGGGCTTGTGCAGGTCCTGGGGGGCACGGTAGGGTCCTCAGCAGGTGTGAGGGGCTCGTGTGGGGCAAGGGAGTCAGGGGATGGGGCATGTTCTTGACTCCCGTCGCCTGTCTCCCCGCTGCAGAAAGCCAAGACGGTGGGGGCCGTGGAGAGGCTGACAGACACCTCCAAGTACACGGGGTCCCACAAGGAGCGCTTCGACGAGAGCGGCAAGGGCAAGGGCAAGAGCGGGCGGGAGAACATCGTGGACACCAGCGGCTACGTCAGTGCCTACAAGAACGCGGGCACCTATGACGCCAAAGTGAAGAAGTAGGGGAGGGGGTGCCTGCGGCGCCCACCGCCCCCCCACCCCCGGTCCCTGCGTGTCGGCCGTGGGGCCGGCGCTCCGCGTCAGCCTTGGGACATGCCCGTCTGGACGTGGGGCCCGGGAGGCTGCGCTGGGACCAGCCCCGGGCTGGCGGGATGTCGCCCGCCCAGCGCTGATGTGATTGAGAAGTCGCCGAGCCACGTGCTCCGTCCCGGCGCTACGTCTGTGTGTGTGTGTGTATGTGTCTCCCTCCTCCCTGTGCTGTGACCCCCCCCT